GCACGCGACCAAGAGACGAAGAAAAGGTGAGAAGCTGTCAGGGCTGTCACGCATCCAATGGACCATACAGTCGGCCCATTATCGGCGAGGGTCTCCGTAGAGAAATAATAAAAATGCCATTAGTGTCTCGACGTCCCACGGCGCTCGAACGATGTGAACGTTCACCCCAGATTTCGGGCGATATATCTCATCCCCTTCGACCACTTTAACGTCTTTGTCACGGACTCTCCCACTTGACGAGGTTAATCCTTCTTTCTGGCCTTCAGCCTTCCCCCGTCTCCGCCGGTTTTTCCTTCTCGGTCCAGCGGCTGCCATTGGATCGCCTTAAAATCCGTTCACGAGCTGGAACGAAAATAATTGCATCGTGATTCTTCCGTTTTTTCCTTCAACTCTTCCCTGGTTGCTGTCTGCCACCCTTCTTCCGTCTTTCTTCCACCAGCCACGACCGAAAGGGCATAAATCCTTCGGGATCGTCGCCGAAAATAAGATAAAATCTCGCCGCGGCCTGGAAGAGGAAGAGGAAGGAAGAAAAAAGGCAAATTCCCGAATAAACACATCCGCGCCTCTTTATGGTGCCGCTTTGCGGATCCATCCCCTCGACTCGGTGGCCTGTGTACCGTGCGCATTATTAAGTCAACCACCGGAAAATGTCAACGCGGCCCAGCTTCTTATCTCTCCTTGCTTTTCTTTATTTTACTACCCACCCCGCTTCCCGCCTCTATCGCTGGCTTCTTCCTTCCCTCGGGCACCGGGCACGCGACTTTATCTGCGACACCCTCAAAGCGTCGCGATATTTGTCGTTGGATTACTTCGCTTTCTTTTTAAACTAAAATTGCTCTATTTAGATTTCCAGATTTTAAGTATTTATCGTCTCTTTTGATTGATAGAAATTTTAGTAAAGGGGTTTGTAGTTTTATTGAAAATCCTTATTCTCTAGTAATTCTCTGTTACTTACATTAGCAAATTTTTAAATTTTGCAAAGTAAATTCGTTTGCACTTAACAAAACGATACCAAAAGGTACTAAAAAGCTTTTAGAATGGAATGAATACCTTATTTTAAAATAATCACAAACTTCAATTGCTGTACATGGTTTCTCAAATGAAGTTTCCAGTTTGTTATTTTATCCTTGTCGTTCTATCAAAGGCCATCGAACGCTTCCGATTGCTTCTAAGAACGTCTTCTGTTTCTCCAAAGGTGTAGAATTGAAAGAACCTTGCCCGATCGGATTTTCAAACGTTTTAATCGCCGTTTTTCTTTTCTCTGGCCGGCCCGATTTCTCGATCCTCTTCTCCCACTTTCGAAGAGAGTCTCCTTTTCCAGGAAGGAGTTATCGCCGAAGGAAGCTACAGGCACATCGTGCTTCTGAAAAGGGGCTGGAGACGGCCGCCGGGGTTAAAACGACCCCCGGCAGTCGAGGCTGAAGTCTGAAAGATAAGGTGGCCCTCTTCTCTCTCTCGGCCTCCTAGATTATGGAATGGCACTTTAATTACACTAATGGGAGAACCAAATGTTAATTACAATTCGAAGTCTAAAAGAGAGACGATCCGCGGCGGCGAAAGACAGAGAAAGATGGATGAAACGGGGCAGGAAGAAGAGATAGGAGAGGGGAAGGGACGAGATGAGATTTGCCTGCGTAAGAGGGTTCCCTGTGATTAGTATTATTTAATTAAAAATGCCCAGTCTCATTATGGTCACCTCTCATAAAGATCGACCTTAGCTGCGTGGAAAGCTGCTTATAAATTGGATTATTGCAAAGTGTTAAAGACAATAAAAGAGAAAAAGTGTTATTTTGAATTGGTCTTGGCTTATGTACGATACTTTGTACTTGAATCAGAAAATATGGTAAAGAAGCAAGCTTCAGAATATGCAAATTGAACTTTTTATTTAATGAAATATTTAAAACAAAACTTTGAAATAGTAAATTCAGGCATTAGATAGAAAAATTAATTTTGAATAATTCATATTATTATATGCAGTTCTAAGTATCATTATTTCTGCTATAATATTAGAAATCTTTATTCTTCAGTCAGTTATAATAATTACAAAAATGATAAAATCTTGTGTTTTCACTAAGATACATCATGTACCTCACTAAGATCCTACAATCATATTAGAATCGCTATTGCAACAAGAAACGAATTTACAAAAGTTTCAAATAATACAAAAATTGTTGATTCTACCGTGATCGCTGCATGCAGTAGGAAATGGAGATCAGTAGTTTTCGAAATCTCGTTTCCTCCACGTCGGTCTAGGCAACACCATCCTAAACGTGACGACGAAGAGTACGCGAACGGCTACGACGACGGGCTATCGACGGCAGGGCGGAGACGAGCGGCAGAGCCGGGTTTCAATTTAAAGTTGGACGAGCGTGTCGGGATTTCAATGTACAAAATGCGTATGCTAAACTTTTCGCACCCCTCGTAGCCACACCGCCTCGCCCACCCTCTGGTTCGTCTTCGCCGTCCGAGTTCCGACACCCGGGGGCCCTCGACGGGAACCGACGTTGGACAACGTCCGTCCCGACGCGATGTTTCGCCCGTCGAAAAATCAGCAAGTCTGATGCATCGTCAAGTAGAAAGGGGTGCGCAAGTCGAACGTTGCTGGACGAACGTTAAGCCGGCTCGCGGGCACGAATGTCCTCTGAACACTTTGAAGTCGCTACCCCCAAAGGACAAATTACCTTTTTGAAGCAAGCGGCACACGGCCTTAGCACCCTCACGGTTTACCCTGAGAGACACCCTAATGATTGCAGCTGCGATCGAAGGTGATGCATATCAATGGGTAGGCTTCGAATGAACAACCGCCTGTGAAGAAACTTTCTAATGGCCTCTGCCCGATGGCAGGCAACTTTTCTCACCTTTTCGTTCACGCACCGATCTACGCTCGAATTTGCATCTCGTCTGGCCACAGCTTTGCCTCGTCTCGAGATTGCGCTTTCGTCTCGTTAATGAGATATAGTCAAGCAACGATACGACATGTTTGTTAGAAGTTTTGAGAGACAGGATAGAGGATGATCGTTTGGGAATTAAAATATGGTCTTTTGATGTTATTTTTGCAAGGTTCAAGGAGAATAATTACACTTCAACCTTTTATAAATCAAGAAAATATTTTTATTCAGAATTTCCAATTTCACAATTTATGCTTACAAGCTGAAGTATTTTCTTCAAAGGTCAATATTTCCTTAGAATCTCCTTCGTTTTCTCAAATTCTGTTCTAATCAAACACGATCGAAATAGAGAGCAAGCATTCGACGGATGCCGATATCTCGTTTCGATTCGATTGGGAAGTTGACTTGGACGCGAATCTAACTTCGACAATGCATCGAACGAGCACGTCACAGCGTGTAAGATTGCCGAATAGAGGAACGGAGAAGTGGTAAAGGGAAAAAGGTGGAACGAAGATGCTCCGGTAGCCAGGGTATCGCGGATGGGTGAGAAGTTTCGCCCCAGGAGTTGGATTACCGGCGTGGCTTCGGTTGGATTTGAAAATCGTGGGGTCCTCGCCGGCAGCGTGATTGATTTTGCATACGACACGGATTGGACAGGTTTGAGAAATTGGACTGGCTTTCTGGCTGGTTTGGCCTCTCTGCCCTCCTTCGCTGTCTTCCCTTCGGCCTTTCCATCCCCCCCTTTTCTCTTCCTTCTTTCTATATCGCGAGTGCTATATGCCTGGACGTTATATCGACGAGTGTGCGCGTGCATATACACGCCGCTATAAAGTATATACTTACGGTATCGAAGTCGGTGTCTAGCTGAGAGACGAAGAAGTCTTCCCTCTCGTATCTCTCGCAGGGAATGTCGAAGGGGATTGGCCTCGAACGAGCGATTTGTGCGATCTTCGAGGACGTATTTATGAGCGTTCCAGGCCCGCTTCTTTCACTTTCATATTGAGCTCACCATTTTGGATAGAGAGCTCGTACATAAGTGATGGCATGCGAAATAGAACAGCGTCGACTTGGCGCGTGGTAATCGTTTTTCATAAATGTTGCTCGTAGAATTGTTTTATTTTAATTGAAAGGATAATCAGAAGAAGTCGTAGAGGGTAGCGTTTGGGAATTAAAAGTACACGACGCGTAGGTAGATTTTGAAGAATGATTAAAGGAAATTGAACAAATTGATACTTTATAATATTTTTATTAAGTTATAATATCACAATTTCTTAAAATTGAGGAGGGATAATAGGTACTTTAAATTGTTGTAGTTTTGAACAATTTATATTGCTCAAAAATATATTTCGTTACTTAATTTTCTTTGTAAATGAAAATTATCTACGCAACCACGAATGTCTGCAGCTGATGACGCGATGCAACCACGAAGAATGGCGTAAGAAGAAACTGTTGAGCCATTCAGGGTAGATCGGTCGGCGTTATCTGCCGACGTCGGAGTGGATAACAGGCCGAACGATTTATTCTAAACCTTTATCCAGCGGCCCCTCGAAATTTATGAAAGAAGACGCCCGTTTAACCGACTCGCTCAGTCATCCCTCACGACGGTGGTGAAGCCACCCTTCCCTTGGCTGTCTTTCTTGCGCTTTCTGTCTCGGTTCTTCTTAACCTCGCGTCTACCTCCTCGTCGCTCTTTCCCTTGTTCGATCCTCTACCCTGTGCTCGCATGTCAGCCCTTTATTTTATACCAAGCCGAGTCGGTCCGAGTTGGTCCTAATATTAAAGGGGATGGTTCACCCTTAGCGCGTGATCGGGATACCGAAACTCGCCAATCGGACGAAAAAGCTCAAGGCTTTTTTTATTGAAGGACGAAAGTCGAGTGGCAAGCTTACAAAAGGGAATAGTTACTAAAATGACTGTAAAGCATTTTTTGTATCTTTGTAAATACCAGAAGAATTAAAAATGATATACTTAGGTAAAGATATTAAGTGTAATTGTACAAAATTTTACAGGATATTTTCAAAGATATAAATTTCTGAATTGCAACAAAATTTTATTTCAATATGAACATAACAGATTGTTAGAAATAACGTTTGTTTCTTTTTCTGTTTTCAGCTGTATCTGAACAAAACACGGCAAAGTGGCTTGTCAGACGATTTTCACCAGGGTCTCGCACGAGCAGTCAGTCCAACTGCGCGCCAGCAAGGTAAGTCTTTGCTCGTTGATTTTTCCGTCGCTTCCGGAGCGACGCGTTTCCCTCTTGAATTTCTTCGGCATCGTCGACCGCGAACCGCATCTGAATTTCTGGCCGCGCTTGAAAGGATCCGTCCCCTACCGTGGGCTCGTTTCCTTGCTGTTTTCTCGTTTCTCTCGATTCGCTGGAAACTTTCGGCACGCATACACGAAACGGCGTCGTTTAGTATCCTAACTGTGAGATACTCGTCTAAACTGTGCGTCGAAGTCCTGCTAAAACATAAGTGACATTTTGAAACTCGAAGTAATTTAATCCCTGTTAGAATAAATATTCGATTTAAGCTTCGTTCATCAAGAATATTTTAAATATAATTTCATGGCGACATTGGACAATGCTTAACTGTCATGATTAATATTAGAACAATCAAATTCATCAAATTAATGAATTTCAAACGTTTAATTTTTAATATATAGTCAAGCAAATCTTGGATCATTTTCTTTTAAAAAGTAGTAAACTCTATCTAAGTGTATTCTCAATTCCCATGGAATGTGAGGCCAGGATTTTCCTGGACTGAACGGTGGTCTCGACAATTCATGGGGACGAGAAAGGAGAGGAGGAGGCGGCCAGCATCATGCATAACCCCGCGCCAACCTCGCATAAATATTCTAATAACTTCGGAAACTAATATGATTGCATCCAGCAGGAATAATATCCTTGCTCGAAGTGGGCATCGCGGTTATATGCGTGGAATACGAAATATGCGAGACGTTCATACAAGCTACGATACTTCTACTCGTGTAACCGTAGATCGCCCCCATGACGAAAACTATCCCCCCCTGATTACAGTGGTTACTTTAATCGAGGCTTCCCTTACCTTGTCGTCCAGGTTGCTCTCTGGAAAATACTTGTAAACTAGTAGGTTAGTAATGAGTATATTCAATACTCCCTTGCAAATTTTCGTGCGATTCAATCAATGCAAAAAATCATAAATCGAAGTAAAATACTGTGGAAACACTTGGAAATTTAAATGACAAATTGACGTACCGTAAATACTATTTTCAAACGTTTCTGTGTGAAAAATCACGTCAGATTTCCGAAGTTTCAAATTCCCATTCGTTAAAAGTAATATCGACAAACAAAACAAATTGAAACTACAAGAGCTCGTTGCAACTCGCGGAATATCGACGTATCTCGGAGACTCGAGACCTTCGAGGAAAATTCATCCAGCTGATTCGAGTTCGAAAATTAATTTCAATCCGTACTTGAGCCCGGAGCTCAAGCTTCTCTCGCCCCCTTCCGATCTCCCTGGGCTGGTCAAACAGCGGCATGTACAGCACGGTCGGAAAATCGAGCAGCGAGCTCGAGTGGTGGAAACAAAAGGCCGACGTTTCAATTAGGTCCCTTATTAGTTAGCGATAATAGGACCAGCGGCGGTCGTACGGTAAGGCCAGGGCTTTCCAGTGCTTAACCGTTCGCCGCGTTAGGTCCGCTGGCTTGTTTGCGTGGATCCAGCTCTTACGACAAGGGCTGACTAGGCATTCACCGTCGAACCTTCCCCCGTCTCCTTTCGATGTTTAGAACCACCCTCTAACCTTCTGGCTCGATTCGAGCCGCCGTATTCGGCCAGGATCGAAGGAACAGCGAGGGTTTCCTTGCACCTCTTGACCGGACCTCTCCTTTAGGTCTTAGGGTCGATTGATTTTCTCGCGTTGCAACGTCGCGTCGCGGTGGATACCGGCCGCCTTGATAACGTAGGAAAACGATGAAGAGGGTTTAGCAGAACGAATCGTTCTCGAAGTAGAAGGAATTTGTCGCGAGGAACCGTTCGCAGCAGTCGCCTGCGGCTCGCCGCAACGATCCTCCGTCGTTCTAGCCGTTCTACGGCACCGCACGGTAACAGAGGACCCGTTGCCACCGCTGCTATCGTCGCGACCCTTCGAAACCGACGAAACTGCACCCCCCCGTTATCCTCGCCGCGAAACGGTCGACGCGGTTAACAAGCAGGCACGCGATGTGCATCTGTTATCGATTCGAAAGTGAAAATACCCGGTCGGATTTCGTGTCGGGGGAGACGGTGTATCCGGTTCATCGCCGCTGAATTAACCGTGCGACCAAGGCATTCTTGATCGACAATAATCACTTTGTTACGAAGCCACGTCGTAAAGTTTTGACAGCTGTTTACTGTGCACTGTCTTCCGGTTGACGATTGAAGTGTTTAACGTTCTGGTTATTGCACTTTGTAGTTGAGGAAATTGAGACTATTTCTATCATTAATCTTGCAGTTGAGGGGGTAAGTTTCGCTAGTTTCAATATTTAATTTCTGTACATTTCTGGATAGCATCTCTAATTATTTCTTATAGATACAAGGGAAAACTGCATTTCTAATTCATCTTGCAGTTGAGGGGGTAAGTTTCGCTAGTTTCAATATTTAATTTCTGTAGATTTCTAAATAGCGTCACTTATCATTCTTATAGATACAAGGGAAAAGTACATTTCTAATTTATGTTCCATTAATTTATATCTACTGAGAGTAAGATCTTCGGTCCATCTTCATATTTCTTTCCACTAATCCATTGATCACGAACAGCTGCTTACTTTTATTTAGCTTTTACCTATCGTTTAATACGCGCGGGATAGAAACCGTCAAGATTTCCACTATTATTCAAGCTCTGTCGAGCGAGGGACACAAAGTTATCGCGCGACCGCCGGTTCTTTCCACCCGCAGAAACCGGAATTGGTTTTAGTGTAAGTGTGGAGATCCGGGCTCGGTGTGCCGTAGGACGAGAGTACGGTTAAGGGTTGAGGGGCAGGGTAGTGGTAGCGACATCTTGTATTGTCAGATCCCAACGCGACAAATTCATAATTGCGTTAATGCGGGTACGGCGAGGGTTCTTGCCGCAACCACCGCAAGGCGCGCTATGGCGTCTTGCGGCTGTAAGAGAGATAGGGAGCGGACCTAACCGAACGGCAGAGGAAGAAAATGGACGAAGGAAGGGAGAGGGAGAGATGGAAAGAGAAGTCCCTGCTGGCACGGGCTCGTTAATCTTCCAAGGATTACGCCAGGAGGAAGTATCGCCATTGTGCAAGGTGCTCGTCTTCCAGCCGATAATTATTAATTAAACTGGCCTAACGGGCCACTTCGCGATTTATCGATTTATCGACGGCTCCCCGAACCGTGTCGACGTTCGGATGGACGTTCCACGAAGAATTGCTTCGGCTTCTTTTAGAGTCGGACACGAGGGGGGCGGAGGGATTCGAAGTTGCTGAATTTTAATTAGTTGTTTTCCGCAGATGTTTGAAAGTTCGGCTTGAATTATTTTAGAAGAGATTCGAACCTTTCGCGGTGCGAGCATGAAGCTGTACATACTACAGTTTCAGATTGTTTCGAGTTTCTTTTCGAAGCGTACCGATGCTTCGTAGCTCCGTTGGAAATTGTGGCGAAAGATGCGGTTTAAATTAGTTTTATAACTGAATTCTTCTTATAAATTGTACACGTTGTTTATATTTCTAATTTCATCCACGATTCTTCGAGGAATCAGAAATCTTTTAACGTACATATAAAAGAATTAATTCGCCAAATGCGAAGCAATGTGTACTTTCGGACAATTGCTAGGAGCGAAATATCTCATTTCCATGAAACGCGCGATCCAAACGAAGCAGCGAGCCGTGCGATCGCCTGGGTTTTAATTAATCGTGGACGATTAAACGATCATCAAATCGAACAGGAAGGGTCATCAAATCCGCACGAACGAGCACATGAACGAAAAGAGAGGAAGGGTTGCGCGTGCGACCAGCTCGCAAACGGGCCGAAGGGTAAAAAGGATAGAATTGCAAAAGCGAGAGAGCGGCGAGGAACGAACGAGCCGAAATAAAACAGTGATATCGAGGCATTTCACGCACGAGCGAGAACGTTTAGCAGATTCAATGTGCGTGCCGGCACTCGGCTGCCACGGTGAAACGATTCTATCCTTCTCTCTCCTTCATCGGTTTCCTCTTTTACCCTGCCCTCTCTCTTTCTCTCTTCCTCTATCACCTACACCCTCGCCCAGAGCCCACTGAAAAATACTGCTCTCGCTGACACCTGTAGCTTCGACGTTCTACATATGTGCGTACGTACGCTCGAGCCTGCCCATTGAGGAAACGAGGGGCAGAAAAAAAAATTATCGCCCAAGAAAATTTCCATAAGACGAGCAGAAACGACCCCTCTGACGATCCGACAATTTCGTTACTACTGCTGGAATTTTGTTCCAGATTCGGGATACATAATCACTTCCTGTTCCATATGGAATGAATCAAGCATTAGAGGGTCTAATGGTTAAGAAAGTGTTGTATTAGAATATTTTAAAAATATTTTTTATGACAATTAGAAATTCGTTAAAAAATTTCTCATGGCAAATAAAATTAATATTAAGTTCTACGAGTATAGAAGGGTTAATTAACGCAGCTTTTCGTGAAGTGTATCAGGACCACTCTAAATCGGTATATTAAAATCATAATAAAATCCGTGAAAATTGCGTATCATCGAGAGAGATTTTTCATCGTTCTCATGAAGGAAGGAAAGGGCTGAGGGCCGAATTGCCACGGTGAAAGGGGAACAGATTCCACAAGTGGTGGACTTTACGGGACTTAAGATTAATCCTCATAATTACCCGATTCCGTTCTTCTCAACGGGGCCCCTACTGTTGTATTTCGTTTTTATACAGCAGCTTGCACCTCGTGCCCTTCTGCGGTATACCTTCTCTGGTAGGGCAGGATGAATGGCGAGCTTGAGAACGCTCGGTTGCTCGGCCATAAAGATATTTATCAGGTGACAACCTTGGTCATCCTTTACGATCCTTCCCTCCTTGAGGTTTTCCACGGAGATCTGAGAACGGATCCACCCTTCGGACAGTCGCGTGCCACGTTCTCGACGATACCACCCTTACGCATTCTTTTCTCTTCGCCGAGATTCCTTGTACCTCTCCCTCAAAGGAGAGCAGTACGAAGGAAATCGAGGAATGTTAAGTCGTCTT